CTGCTAAAAGGCATGCAAAGAGCAAAGAACACGACGCCGCACAGACAGTATTGACATAAATATACGTACCTGTGCGAAGGCGCGGATTGCGTAGAAGCCGACGCCAACAACCTGCATCTAAGTCCTTCTGGAGTTGATTCCTCCGCGGCCAATGGCAAGTGACACACGGATGATGATCGATACCTTATTCATTCCAAACCTTCTCCTACTCGCCCGCATCGCCAACCATCGTAAAGCGTTACACACATCGGGAGCTTCGATTTACATCAAGTCAACGCCGACGCCCGTATAAAGAATTCCACTTCCGCTGGTCAAAGGTTCGATCCTCGCCTTCTTCCTTCTACTCCTTCTCCGTGGCGATGACGCTGAGGTTCTGTCCCGCTGGGGCGGCAAGCCACAGCTCATGCATGTCCATACTCTCGTCCGAGACTGGTCCTGCGAAACGAAGATCAAACCGGTGGAACAATGCGGCAAGAATGACGCGCAGTTCCATGTATGCCAGGTGGATCCCGATGCATTTCCGTGGGCCGTCAGCCCCAAAGGGGACGTAGAGATGTCGCATTTCCGGCGTCTCGTCTAGCCAGCGCTCGGGCCAGAATCTGTCGGGGTCTGGAAAGACGTCGGGCTGTCGGTGAGTGGTGTATGCTTGGATCGAGACGATGGTGCTCCCAGGCAGGTTGTAGCCGCCGAGCACCGCGCCCTCGGGAGGGACGTATCGAGGCGTCGAGCCCGGCACCGAGGTGTCAATCCGCAGACCTTCTTTGATAATGCAGTTGAGGTAAGTGAGCCCGTCCAGCTTGGAATGTGGTGGGACAGCGTAACGATCCTCGGTCCCGAGAGCCGCATCGAGCTCCTCGTTAAGCTTCTGGTAGATATCAGGGTTCGAAAGGATGCGCCAGACAATCCAGGTCAGTGACGAAGAGGTGGTATGGGAGCCCGCGAGGATGAAACTGGTGGACTGGATGTTCAAGTCGTTTTCTGGGAGAGGTTGGTCATTTTCATCTCTCGCGTTGATCATCTTCTGCAGCAGATCTTTGCGTTGGCCTTTGTCCTCTTTCCGTTTATATTCTTGCACAATCTTGGTGCCTCTTTCAAATCCCCGGACGCTACAGGCCTCGGCGTCCCGGACAAATTTGAACGGTGCCCAGCTTGCGTATCGGTTCAACCACCCAAAGTGCCACCGGATGGGCTCGATCGTGAGTGATCCATACATGTCCTGGATGTATGGATTGACCGCTCCCTTGTGAAGCATATCAAACCCCAACCCGAAGGAGAGTTCGCAGATGATGTCCATGGACAGATAGTGCCACCAGTCGTAGAGGTTACTGGCCTTGCCGGCCTTTCCTTCTGCAGCAATGAGGTCCATACATTCGAGGACATTCCCTGCGATGATGTCCTCGTACTCGGTGATCGTGGACATGGAAAACAGGTGGGCCAACTCGCGCCGTCGTTTGGCATGGGCCTTGCGGTCTGACATGGTGAAGAGCTCAGGTATGCCGCGCAGCTGGTATGTGTAGAACGCCGTCTTCGTGAACTCGGAGTTGACGCCGTAGATGGGCGCTATCGCCTTACTGTCCGAAGTCGATATCTCGTCCGGTGCGACACGTACCCAGGGGCCGTACTTGAGATGAAGATCATGGATGGTTTTTGCACGGACTCCACGCCAGGTTTTGTAGACGAGCCACCATTTTGTGTAGACCGCGTACCAAGGACCTGGGATTTTCCGCAAGGGCGAAAAGTACCACGGATAGAGGAGCCAATAGATAATGAGAGCTGGGAGAAGGACCACCGTAAGGCGGATAGCGACTTCCGAGCTGAGTAGGCCCATTGTGGAAAAGGACCATCAACGATACGTCTCCTTTACTTTCCAACGTCTATTTTGCAACAAAGGGATATATGTGTTCAATTATCTCTCAAGGTGAGCCCTCCTTGATCCCAGCGAGGCGGTGAAGTACCAGCTCCATGTGATGGGGTGGCTGTCCTTTCGTATATACCATTTTGATACCCTCTCACGTCAAACCTCGCCCGGGCCTCGACCGGCCGGCATCCCCCCGCTGCAGCCAATCTCGATCTAAAGATTTGTTTTGAGCAAGCTGCGTTGAGGGAGCCAGGAAAATGCCGCTTGTCCAATGGGAAATTCTGGTGAGTTAGATAGAGCGTCGCTACTCCGTCTTTGTCCGCGCCACATCCGCCCCGAACACTGGACATGACGTTGCCATTGGCAATGAGAGGAGGTCGGTCGACGTGCAAAAGGCGGGGGAGGGTCGTGGAGGTCCCAGAGTCATCCGGGGGCTGTTCCTGCGGAGAACGACTACCTGTGTCTCGTCTAGTCGGTGCTATCTATCTAAGGGTCAACTCGCGTCGGCTGCTTGCCGAACTCGCCCAGCATGCCTCCAGGAGGAAGAGGTGGTTGTGGTTGTTAATGGCCCTGAAGCAGGCTGTGTCGAATGAATCCAGCCATTCCCGCATGGACGCCTCGATGGCGTCGTTCTTCGAGCATACTTTTGAATTGTGTAGAGCAGATTTCAGCCGTCGAGTGATACGAATGTATCCGTCGACAATAAACTACAGCATAGCGTGAGCGAGGCGCAGATGATCAACATAAATTTCAGCATTCCGCCTTTCTGCGCAACCTTCAATTAATTTTCCATGGCCTCAAGATTTTAGATACGATCCCGAAGTATATGCTTTTTTGCTGGAAGCTCCACCACTCAGGATGAAAGCAATTCGTCCCTAGCTGCGTGCGGTCATACTTGCCAGCATCGTTTGCTGAGAACTCACAAGAAGAACTTCTCGATTGTCCTCACAACTTCGACGGGAGATTGCTCCGGAATGTAATGGCCTGAGTCAATGCTGCACCCTTCGACACTAACATCTGCAGCTGTGACCATTTTCCACTCAGACACTGCATCAAAGCATTTTTCAATGACGCCATGACGACTCCAAAGCACCACTAACGGACATTGAATGAGTCTGTTGTTTTTGAGGTCTTCCCTTGCCTCGTCCATGTCCAAAGAAGCACTTGCTCGATAATCCTGGCACATGGCATGCACTATCGCCGGATCTCCTAGATTGTGGACATAATGATCGAAACATTCCGGCTTGAAGATGCCCAGGCCACTCGCTTGTCTTCCACCCATGAACAACTCTGCAAACCGTCTGGGATTTTGGGACATCATGGTTTCTGGAAATGGTTCTTTCTGAATCAGGAAGAACCAATGAAAGTAAGATCTCGCAAATTCGAAGTTTGTTGATGTATACATCGTCAGGGTGGGACATATGTCCAGAAAAATTGCCTTTCTCACTTTGTGCGGATAGTCAACGCACAACTTATGCGCCACTCTTGCCCCCCTATCATGTGCACAGATGAAGAACGAATCAAAACCGAGCTTCTCCATCACCTTGACACAATCTTGTGCCATTGCGCTTTTTGCATAACTTGCCAGCTCCGTGGGGGTAGACGACTCTCCATATCCGCGGAGGTCGAGGGCAATTATCTCGAACTGGGAGCGCAGCCGACGAGCCACAGAGTCCCAGATATGGTGAGTCTGTGGGAAACCATGCAGAAGAAGGAGAGGTGGGACGTTGAGCCCACCGTCTTTGCTCCTAACACCATGAATCGTCACCACGGGAGATGTCTGTGTGATGATATCGAATGTCTCGAAGTCGTCGAACATGATCAAGCAATCTGTTGGGGTCTGAAAACAGTTTGGTGACAGTACTCTGCTTGACTTCTCACATCCTCCATGGCATATATATCAGAATGCCTGTGTTCATTTCCGCTCCTGAATCAGCGGCACGGTAAAAAGATTGTCCGATCGGCAAATTTTCTGACCGCAGCTCAATCAACACTTGACTTATCGCACCTGACGGTCTTGGAACTGCTGAATGAACAACACCAGAAAAACAATTTTATGCCGACGCCGGTCGTTCAAAGCAAGTTGACTTGCTTGACGCCAACCCCAGTCCCGAGAAGATCGCTTGTGGCCTTTTGCCTGCGCTAGCCGATGCGTCAGCCCAAGACCTCTTCCGAAGGCGCTTCGGGGTCCAGAAGCCGCTCGGCTTGCTATGCCTGTAGGGCAAGGAAACAGAAGGTCAGTCGTCGGGTTTTGTGATGTGTCCAGTCCGTTTATGGGTGATTAGTTGGAATCAATATTGACAAAGCTTTCTAGTGTGATGGCAACAGGTGTGTTGCTACCATAACTTCCTGCTGTTCGTGCCACTGACGACATCAAGACCCGTTTGCAGCCGCTGTAGAAGTCTTGTCCAGACCTGCTCATGGCCGAGAAGCCAGAAGAGGTCAGTAACTCCGGCATAGTCGGGGTGTTGGGAATTATGGCAGACGATGACCCTGCTGACTTTCGACGGGCAACAGAGGTCCTGCGAAAGGATACATCGAAGCTCTTGAGATCCGACTGAAGGAGACCGAACGTGTGCTCTGGCGAATTCTCTCGGCTTGCCCCCAAGAAAACCTGACAGCAGCCTTTTCTCCCGAAGTACAAGATCGAATACCACAACATCTCTCCGTCGGGACTTTGGGCACCACCGAGGAGAAGAAATCCGCCATCGCATACTGGGAACAGTTTCCTCTATATACCATCGAAGATGTACTTACGTGGAAGCAACAAATTGAAAGTCCGCCTCTAATGGAGACGACCAACTTGGGGCAGGATCAAGAACAGCACTCGCACCTGACAAACAGTCCGGGTGAAGCGCAAGATCAAGGTCCACCTTCTCCAATGGACGAAGAGATGGCCCAGGCATCCGTGGCGAAAGTGCCAAGTTCCCAAAACCTTTCTGATGCCTCTTATATTGCGCCGCAGATGACTGATGCACCAAATCGACGACCATCCGCCTCCACAGCTGATCGAGAATCCGTAGTCAGTAAATTTTCGTTCTCCAAAGAGTTTCAAGAGACTTTCCTTTGGTGAGAGGATGTGATCAAGCTGGACAACAGGGGGAAGGGGTCATCAGATGACAGAGTGCAAATTATCTTTCGCTCAGTACTTTGGGGTGCCCCAAACGGCCCAGCTTTGCATGTTCCCAGAACCATTAGCCATTGCCTCCCAGCCAATATTACCAAAGGCACCAGGATTGTTTGGGTACAGATCATCCGAAACCGGCAGACCGAGGAACTCAAAGTCGTCCATGGTTGGATACTGTCCATTGCTGAAGCCAAAATCCGGGCCTGTGTATTCAAGAATGGGGAACATTGCTCCACTGTTAAGGCTCGGCAATTGGTCAAAATCTTGGTTGATTGTTTGAGATTGATTCGAGCGGCCATTTCTTACATCAGGTAACTCGCCTTGTGGCCGGTTCTGTCGTTGTTGCTCCTGGCTGGTCCTCTTCCTCTTCCTGCAAGGTTCATTCGTTTCACTTAAAGGGAGCTGCGGAGCGATTGGCTCTGTTGGTCCTCCGATCGCTGCTAGCATTGCCGTCCCTGGGTCGCCCATGCTAGAGGACGACGGAGGAGAGGTCAGGGCACTAAGCCTCCCATTATATTGGGTTGTCAGAGTCTCTAAGAGGGACTGGAGTGCCTCTGCACAGTGCCTCGCGTTATTCCAGCTCTTTGCCATTGCTGAGAGACTACAAATTGAATCCTGGATCTCCCTGCATTGCATCAGCTCATATTCCAAAGTGCCCACAGACTCCGCTCACCTTTGGGCTTTGCTGAATGGGTATCGTTTTAAAGTGCAAGCGAAAGCCAAAACCAAGCCCGCCATCCATGTCGCTGATAGCATTCCAGGCCACGATACAACCAAACCCCGCTCGTGTTGACGCCGCGAGGTCGTAATAATCTGTCGGCTTGCCGCAATACACGTCTGCAGACTCGATTTGAATTCCAATGACTTCGGCGAAAGAGATAGAAAGGGACGGTTGCTGAGAAGCAAAAGATGATTATACAGTATTGAAAAGAAGAAGGTAAAAGTTGAAGCAAGCTTCACCCCGTCTCCGGTGTACTCGTCCTGTAGCTCTTGGGGAAGACCGTTCCACCACGCGTGAACATTGGACTGAAGCTCCATCATTCGTTCTGCATTTATTGTCCGGTTCTGAAGCGAGATGTGGAATATCTCGAGTGCTTGGCCTGTCAGCCGGCAATAGAGCACATAGTGACCCAGGATCTGGGAAGTATGGGACGGCCGTGAAATGTTGACATCATTTGGTGAATTCGCATCCGATGACTCCAAATCAGAACCAGTCGCAGGACCGCCAGCATCTTCTGGGCCCGTAGCTTCTTCCGAGCGTGACTCTCGTCCGCGATGGCCACGAGGCAGGTGAGCCAGGACTCCCTCAGCGGGCTCCCGACTCGCAGATGACACTTGCTGGCTCGTTTTGACCGGCTTATGAAGTTCGTCCATCCCCGGGATGCAAACATCCAGGTCAGAATCTTGAATACCCAGAGGATGACCAAGTGCTTGACTCAAGTAGCGGTCCAGCACGTAGGCACTCCAGAAAATCCTCTTCCGCAGATCGCACTCGTGAGGTGATAATTGTGGATATCGGAAAGCGCATCGGTGGAAACCTGCGTGAAACATCACGCGCGTCAGAGTACCTCCTATCGTTGACGCGGCTCGGAGAGACATGGTCGCAACAAGGTAGAGCTGGGCGGCGAGCAAGGCCTGCAATGAACGATTATCGTGGTTGCTCGCAACATATCCCAGGAGCGAGAGCAATTTTGCCGGTGAGTCCAGTCGTGATTCCAGAGCAAGAGTGCCTTCTGGCTGGTCAAGGGCTGCGATGTTGAACACGCATTGACAAATGATGGCATGGCATAAACGGCTTCTTAGCGACAGCTTCCTTGGCCCATCGGTCTCATACAAGGCGCGAATTGTTTCATAGAGGGTCGGCCCATGTAGAAATGGGAAGAGAGGATGCCAGTTCTTCAGGTACAGTACGAGGAGCTCCTTGGCTGACTCTTGCTCTGGCGCAACACCTAGTCCATGGCCTTTGACGCCATACGAGTTCGGGCCAGTTTCGTTCTCGATAAGGATCCTCATTCCCAGGGCCTCGTGGTCCGGTTGCATGGGAGTGTCTGGATCGACGAGTCGGCTGTCGACTGATCCGGGGTCATTCTGTGTGGATTGCTCATTGGGAGCAAGCGCCTTGGAACTGTAAGCCGATCCGGCAAAGGCGCGAAAGACGGTGTTGACGAAAAAGACTCCGCTTGCGCTGCCAATAAATTCCGTCTTTTCAGGCGTTGAGGCCGTGAACGACCCTATTTCAATCGGAGCGATAGACTTTGACGACATAGTACGCGGGCGTGGGGAAGTCTGCCATTTAACCACAGAGAAGACTTCAAGTACAGGGATAGAAATGGATTGGAGATGTAGAACATATTTATTGTCATACGAACTTTAAACAGTCAACGGTAGATTTTCGGAAAATCGGCTTATAAGCCACACCACACAGCCAGTAAGCCATTTTCCACCCAAGAAGGTGGAGTGTTTTCAATTATCACGCTTTCGTTATCATAATCCTGGAGACATGGCTTGAGATTCCTGGGGTTATCTCTACGTACTCAATCAAGGGGCTTCGTATATCGAACCCGGTCGCCCCAGAGCCAAGTTACCTCCCATTCTGCAAAGAGGCGCCAAACTGGTGACACTGGCAGCGCGGACGAGATATCAACCTATGAACCCGACACAGAATGAGCTCTCATTATGCCAGCCTTCACCGCCCTCGCATGATATCGTCTTCAGTAAGCATAGGCAAGTCCACCATCACCAGACCTAGCTCTCAATTTCTTGTTTTCTGCCATTAGCCAGATCTTCAGTCCCCACGCACAAATGACGGTTCCCGCCGTGAAGCCTGCATTGGCGCCCATAGCTGGTAGGTATCGCGGACCGTCAGAACTCGGGTACAAGTATGGAGTGTAGATGTAAGATGCATTGGCCATGATGTTGACGAACGACAAGGAAATTGCTTTCTTTTCAGCCGTTTGTCCAAGCGTCGCCGATACCCATCCCAGGATGCAAGAGTTGACGGAATAAACACCAGCCGAGAACAAGAAGCAGGCCACATACCGAGCAGCCGTGTTAAGAGTCGCTGCTGCTATGACAAAACCCGCTAGCCCCATTGCCATTCCCGCAGTGATGTGCCATGTCCGCTCATTAAATCTTCCGGAACTGAGGGCAAGAAGTGGTCCAAAGATTGCTGCAAACACGAATGGCGGACATGTGAGAACTAGTGTGATTGTGCGATCGAATCCAAGAGTACCGACGACCGTAGGGAAGAAGTTGTTGAAGCCGGCGGCAGAGAGATGGAGGTTTTGCATCAAAGCCAAAAGATAGAGTCTCGGGTCTGAAAATGCGACTTTCAAATTCTGAAAAGAGCCTTGAGATTCTGTCCTCTCCACAGTATCCCGGGCAATTCTCTCTTGTGCTATTGCCATTTCTCCCTCCGAAAGCCAGCGTGTTGAAGAGGGATGGTCGGGCAACGCCCACATGGACAGCAGCGCGATGCCAAACGTGACGACTCCTTCAATGATGAAGAGCCTTATCCACTAGTTAGCGAATGTTGCAATAGATGTTTCGAGAATCTCACCATCTCCAGCCTTCGATTCCATGCGCCCCGTCAATTGTAGAAAATATGGCAGCCGCAATCAATCCAGAAAATGCGGTGGAGAGAATGTTGGCCGAATACAGAATTGCAATGCGAGTGGCGATCTCTTTTCGTGTGTAGAAGATGGACAGGAGGAACAGGGCACCAGGGTAGACTGTGAACGTCAGCATGGTGCCTCAATTCATGGATGAGAACTCACAAGGTGCTTCAGCGACTCCCAGAAAAAAGCGAGCGATCACGAGTCCACGATAATTCTGCACCAAGGCGGTACATGCCGAGCACACGGCCCACAGAGACATGCAACAGCCCATGTAGATTGATGGTCGAATCTGTTTGGATGCCATGAGCATGTTGGAAGGCAACTGCATCAACAGGTATCTATGGCCCAGTCAGCAAAATTGACCGTCGAAGCTCGAATCACTCTTCTACCCAACAAAGAGAATTGAAATGCAGGTATTGTATTCAGAACCCGTGAGGCCGATATCGTCTTCTAACTGGTTGAGGCGTGCTGAGGCAATTGCTTGTTTATCCAGCTTCACAAAACGTTAGCTGAGCGCGCACTGCGCTGGAGCATTACTCACATAATTCATGAAATACATTGCCCAGAGCATAGGCATGATTCGGCAGTCAAGCTTCCTCACGAGGGCAATTTCCGCAGGATCTGTCTTGCCTGCTGCTCCCGAGTAATCGTACGTCTTTGAAGCCGCAAGCTTTTCGACGGCGACCTCGTCATCGATCAACTCATCATGAGCCTTCTCGACACCCAAGGATGTCTCAATGACCTTAGTATGCATAGTAAATCAGAGAGTTGGGCGGTCTGTTCACTCAAACGTGATCTGTCAGTAAGCAGAATGGAATCTTGAAATCTGCCTAGACGAAGGCGTAGGAAGGGCTTCTTATATCTTGGAAGTGGAAGCGGTGGAACGAGGAGCCCCAGGATACGTCCCCATGGGGTTGCACGGACAAATTGAACAGCTGCTTGAAATTTGTCCAATTGGCGGAAGGAAGAAGATGTTGTCGGTGTAGAGTTTACGCGAACAAAGCCTTGAACGTTTCTATCGGGTATGATGAGCAGTTGGTGTGTTGTTCTCGGAAGCCGATGATTTCCAGAGGCGGAACATACATATTGACTTATCGAGGACCTTCTACGCCTCTGCGATGTTCTGAAGTCAACCCAGCCCACAGAAAATGAAGATAGGCTCAGGCTGTAACTTATCGAGCATTCTGGTTATGACGTGAGTAGAGTCTACTAGAGTCATTTTCGACCTACCGAGCCAGTTTATCTGGCCCAGAGAGTTGTGTTTGACAAGTCTGGAAGACTTTATTCCGCCGTCAATTGTGTCCGAACCAGTAAGGAATACCCGCTTTTCCGCCTCGCGCCATCGCCGCTCGACGTCCTCGACCTCGAAAGGGACAAACAGTGTTGGGATGAAGATAGTGGTTTGACCTTGGTACCGCCTCGCAATAGTCACATAGACGGAAGGGATTTATTCAAAATTAAGGGCACAATCTGACACGAAATGTATGTTTCAAGACTCCTCAATAATGTCGAAGCAGCCGCTACACAGAATATAACTAACACCCTAGGACGAACGACGGCGTACCGCTATCGCTAAAGGTAAACAGTATCCTTGTTTTGAATGAAGAGTACCATCGATCTAATAGTGCATCACGCTACCTTGTCAGACTGTGCTTGGACTGTGCCACTTATTTTGAATTGGCTCGAAGCATAGAGCATGCCTCTGTGCGCAAACGTACAACAGTGTTTCATAGTGTAATGGGAGAAGTTGGAAGTGGTGGACAGAGTTATGATTGGCTGGGGCGCCGACCCTAGACTATGGTTCTTCTTATATAGTTCTGGGGGACTATCTTTCATAGACAACATAAGTAACCAAGTTACCAACAGAGAGGACTTCCCTAGTTGAGTGTGCGCGTCAAGGAGAGACTATACCCACCGCCGTACGAGTTGATGCCCATGACTAGTAGCCTCGCCCCAGTTCAATGGTGCCACCAACAAGATCTTCGGCGAATACTTATAGATGGGTGTCTCTCTACGAGCGGTGGGAGAAAATTACGAAAAACAACTGAACTAAACTGCTTGCTGGACTAATAGAACTGAAGAATTGCCTACCTATCTATCTAACTAAATCTGGAGAAACTGGCTATACATGTAGAACCGCTGCGCAGGGTGTACCATTTAGATCACTAGCTGAGCAAGTCTGTCCCGCTATACGGAGCGATTTGCGCTAACTGTTCATGAAGACCGCTACTCGGGGTGTCTTTTAGGATTACTAGCTATATATATTTACTGTCACTGTGTGGGGTGAAGACCAACGACTTAACGACTATTTAGACTACCTAGAAGAAATGAGAGAGAAGTATCTCCTAGGAATGTAGAAATGCGTTTAACCCTAAAAACTCCTAACTTAAGAAGCTTAGGAGGAGTCGAAGAACGCGGATCTACTTAAGAAATAATAAAAATGAGCGGTTAGACTAGACTCGCTAAAATGAGCGAAGTTAGAGCGCTACTAACCGGGAAGTAAATCTAAAATTTTAATGGAAATTATTAGTGAAGATAAGAAAGGAGCTCGACGAGAAAGTCGGTGAAGAGATAAAGAGAAGAAGAGAAGAAACAATAATAAAATAATAATAAAATAATAATAAAATAATAATAAAAGTACTAAAAATAATAAAATATCTAAATCTTTTAGTTTCGCCATTAAGATTTTACACTATTTCGATTATAAGAGAAGAAGTGAGAACGATTTAATAAAGAAAAATGTCGTCTACGGAAGGATTAAATAGTAAAGGAAAGCTAGGGCCTTCTACGATATCGAGTATTAGCTTATAAGATCTATCGACGTCGGATTCGACGGTATAATCGTTATACGTCCCTCCTACCGTAATATTAATAAGGGAAATGCCTTAGAGCTCGAACGGGAGTGATAATCTTCTATACTTTAATGGGAAGAACGCTATCTCTTTCTTTAAGGAGTTTAAAGAACTATATAAATATAACTAGGTTATATTAAGCGAAGAACGTATCCGTAGGTCTATTCGCTTTATATCTAAAGTAGAGAAAGAACGCTATAAAGAGCTCGCTAAGTATAACGTAATGAAGTAAAAAAAGTTTAAAGAGAAGATCTTAGATGAATATAAAGATCGAAACGAAGTGTAGCGAATAATGAGTGTTTAATATCTTTAGACACTCGCGAAGCATCGACGGAAGAAGTCTTAAAGTCTAGAGCTATATCTCCGTTAATTCCGTAAGGCTATAACTTATCTAATTAGAATTGGAGCCGAGACTAACTATACTTACTATCGTCTTCTTTTATTAGAATTACTAAAGATTTATATAGATAAGATTCGAAAGAAATAGAATTTAATGAATCGAAAGCTAGAGAATTCGAACTTTTAGAAATACTGGAATTAGATAAAAGAACTATAGAATATTAATAATGAAAATAAGAAATTTACGTAAGGAGTACTTAACGAGGAGTTCTAAGAACTAACGTACGAAAGGAAGACTCGATCTTTAGCCGTTCGAAAGGAAGAATCGTAAGAATAACGTCGTCGTAATGATCGCACGGATAGTAAAACGAAGTTCGATAAGAATATTTCGTCGCTAGTAAATCGACCTTCTATCTCTAAGAGAAATAACTAATCGGTGGAGAAATTATTCCGTTTA